GTTCAGCAGTATTTGATTGTATGGGAAACATTCATGACTGCCCTGAGGATTCACCAGGCGGTGTGCTTTTGGTATTTTTTGTTGTGGAAATCGAGGGATTTATCATAAAATATCCTATTCTAAGCTTCCACAATCAGTGTGTGATGTGTGACAAACACAGTGTGTAATATACAGTACATGAGGAGTGGAACTTAGGTCCAGTGACATTCATTTATTTATTTTATGTTAATATTAATTAAATTAATTTAGTTATTGTATGTGTATTTAATTCATTATCTAGCCAATGCATGAGTGTTTCTAGGAATCATGCTGGTTTGTGTTATTGTAAAGGAAGAAAAGGAAGATTGATGCTGCAATGCATTCTGGGTGCCCGCATTGTACAAAATTCAACTATGGCTACCTGCATGCACAGCGGCACAAATCAATTATACAGTCTTACTTTCTGGGTTTAATGTGATTTGGTGTATGCTTTCTCTAACTTGTTTTGTAATGCTCAGAGATGTTTCAGTTTTATGTGAAAATGCTGTTGTTGATGATGAGTGTTGATGGCAGTTCTTATACATAAGATGTTAGAGCGATGGTTTGCGGTAACTGCAGGTTAAATTGGTGTACATGCAACAAAACTCAATGAAAATGGATAAAACAACCTCTTACAAACCAGCTATAATGCAATCTGTACTGTAATCTGCCATAATACAAGTCAATGTGTTTTCTAGAAACACTATAAAGCAACTAATTTAATAATAATAATAATAATACATTTTAATTAATCATTTAAATAATAATTAATAATGTTTTATTATTATTATAATTACTATTATTATTGGCATATTCCAAGTGTCCAATCATAGGCTGTTATTGTAAAGGAAGAAAAGGAAGATTGATGCTGCAATGCATTCTGGGTGCCCGCATTGTACAAAATTCAACTATGGCTACCTGCATGCACAGCGGCACAAATCAATTATACAGTCTTACTTTCTGGGTTTAATGTGATTTGGTGTATGCTTTCTCTAACTTGTTTTGTAATGCTCAGAGATGTTTCAGTTTTATGTGAAAATGCTGTTGTTGATGATGAGTGTTGATGGCAGTTCTTATACATAAGATGTTAGAGCGATGGTTTGCGGTAACTGCAGGTTAAATTGGTGTACATGCAACAAAACTCAATGAAAATGGATAAAACAACCTCTTACAAACCAGCTATAATGCAATCTGTACTGTAATCTGCCATAATACAAGTCAATGTGTTTTCTAGAAACACTATAAAGCAACTAATTTAATAATAATAATAATACATTTTAATTAATCATTTAAATAATAATTAATAATGTTTTATTATTATTATTATAATTACTATTATTATTGGCATATTCCAAGTGTCCAATCATAGGGAATGCTGATCAGTTACTTTTAATAAAACATCAACCACTCATTAATAGAGCTTTTCCTCTCGAAATTGTCTTTGTGTAAATTCGCTTTTAAAAAGTGAAACAGGTCATGCTTTTTTAGAGTTCTTCCAAGCGTCCTCACATAAGTTACTGAGAGATTTATTTTACTGGCAGTTGATTTCCAGCTGTGTTGCTGCAAGTCACTTGTAATTGTAGTGGCGTCTGCTCTTTTTTCTGTTCTACTCGTTTCTTCAGTGACTCTACTCGTTAGCAGCAGGTTTCATTACTAATAGTCAGTCATCACTTGTAGATTGAACCTACTTTAATTAACTGCAGTATTACTTTACTGTTACTTTTACGCTGTGAACATATAAACACTGAGCAGTGTTGATTTAACACTGAGGATTTTGCTGTGACAATTTTCCATTTTGCCATTGGTTAGGCAAACAAATAGTTCTGCCCCAAACTCACACAGATGACCTATTGGTAAGCCCCGTCCACCTTAGTTACTGTTTTTGAACAATTTTGAACACAGAAGGGCCACCATTCAAGTGGGAATTAAATACGCCATGGAGGGATATATAAAATATTTTAAAATAAATATGGTGGGTAACTCGAAGCGAGGGTTTACAGATCACAATGCAAACGGGAGAAGCATCATGTTATGGTCGTCACGATCGCGGATAACAACATGCAGGATCAACACTGTTCATGTATCGCAGGGTACGATTAAATTAATGTACATTTAACTAGTTTAATATGGAGATGCACTGAAATGTAGACCTGTGTTTTTGACCTACACTGTACAAGACACGAGAACAGTCCGCTATTTAGGTTTGTACTTTAGCATGGACTTACTAACTTTAACGTTTGCTAGTTTTAGCCAGAGATACCTTGCTGAAGCACAAGATGACATTAACTTTCTGCTTGAGCAGATGAAAATTGTAACTTAATGAGAGTATGACAAACAGAAAATGAACGTTTTCATCTTCATTGGGATTGGGGTTGAATGCTTAGGGACATTTTGCTCTGTTTTGTTTGGATTTAGGAAATGGAATAAAATAAATTATATTGCCCATCCTCTCAGGATACCTGGAATTACTGTTACAAAGACCCCCAGGCACATCGTTTTCCCATTTTTGAAGCATAAACCCCATCAAAACGATGCGAGCTTCGGATCTTCCAATGTTTCTCTATGGCGCTGAAACCTACAGATGTCCGAGTTCCGCTCCCCATGCAACTGATACTCGACTGCCATTGGCTCATCTGCGTTCGAGGGGAGGGGCTTACCGATTGGTCAATTGGTTGAGTCAGTGTTCCTGTGTCGGGGCTGCTTGTGATGCTCAAACAAACATTTGAAAGCATCACAGAGTAACAGTTCTGGGGGAAATCAACTTGTGAATGGAATACTTATAATGATAGGAGAGAGTAATGTAGCATTAAAAAAAGAAACAACACATCATTTTTAAAGAACTGAGTAAAAGTCATTTTACTCAAAGGTCTCCACAGAAGACCTCCTTCCATTGATACTCCAAACACATACACACACTTACACACACACACACACTCACACACTCACTCCAAAGAGCTGTGTAAACATGTGTTCTGGATTGTACAAATAAGACTAAACAAAAGGAACAGAGTCTGCTAGTCTAGGTCATAATAAAGAAATCTGTTGTTAGGTGAATCTAGCCTGTAATTAAACGTTTTTCAATTTTGTGTTCAGTTCTTAAATGTTGTTTATCTGCTTTTTAGGACCACCAGGACCAAAGGGTGAGAAAGGTGATGTGGGGCCCCTGGGACCAGCCGGACTTCCTGGTCTGACAGGAATAAGAGGTCTAGCACAGCCAAAACACATTACCAGCAACTGACTGAGCAGTGATACTATAGCTACTCCTTCAGTGATACCTCTTCGCCTTTTGCTCATTCACAGTCTATAGCACTATTCGGACGGTAATTGTTATTTTCACTATTTACAGGGGGTAGTTGGTGATTTTATTGTCATCTGAATCCACATCTTTGATTTTAAGAGAAGAAATCGATTAAAAATTCAACTGTTGTACTTTGCTGTAATTTGCATGCATTTACAAGAACAATACTTCATAACTGCTCCACCGCAGCGAGTGGGAGCAGAAAGAGAAGAAAAGCACGTAAACATTTGAAATGGGTCTTTATAATGGCAGCAGCAGGTATGCAATACAATTTTAAAATATGTATTATATACAGTTAAATACATAACTATATAATGTATAATTATATACAACTATAGCGCGTCTATTTTCCTATTTTTAAACAGGCGATTTAAATAAATAATAGATAGGATTATATATTATGAAATATGCTTGGAATAATATGAATACATATTTTAATACATTTTACACAATAATAAGAATACATTTGTAAATAAAATTCATTTTATTTACAGCAGACAATCATGCGTTCCCGGGTTCATAGGATCACAGAACTCGCTTCTCCACTGTGAATAAATCCATGAGTTTTATTACCGAGGTGCCATGTAAATGGCAGCAGCAGGTATGCAATACAATTTTAAAATGTGTAGTATAAACAGATATATATCATGTATAATTATATACAACTATAGCGCGTCTATTTTCCTATTTTTAAACAGGCGATTTAAATAAATAATAGATAGGATTATATATTATGAAATATGCTTGGAATAATATGAATACATATTTTAATACATTTTACACAATAATAAGAATACATTTGTAAATAAAATTCATTTTATTTACAGCAGACAATCATGCGTTCCCGGGTTCATAGGATCACAGAACTCGCTTCTCCACTGTGAATAAATCCATGAGTTTTATTACCGAGGTGCCATGTAAATTTATTTTCACATGAGAAACATGAGAAACAATCACTGTCCGAATAGGGCTGAATATGAACATTCACATGTATGAACACAGCCCAACAGCTCATCTTGATTCAAATAAAGTTATATGTATTGTTTAAGAGCATTTGGGGGTATATATCATGAATTTATTTCTTTGTCAGGCTTGGCAGGAGAAAAGGGCATTCAGGGTCCTCATGGACTGGCAGGACAAAGTGGTCAGGATGGACACAATGGAGAAAAAGGAGATATTGGGCCTGAGGGACCCAAAGGTTAGACCTTTATGTTAACACACATACACACACACCCCAGAATTTGACTATTTATGATTTCGTTTCATAGATTTTCTTTTTTTGTATGCGGTAAATGATATTTTCTATGTCCTAAACCGATACCTAAACCTACTCCTCACAGAAACCTGTGCAAAACACTAGATTTAAATAGAAACATGATTTGATCAGTTTATAAGCCTTTTTAACTAATGAGCTCTCTAGTCAGTGTTTACTATATCAGTGAGAATATTGATGAACAGTCAGGACATTTTGGACCTCATAAGCAGTTAAACCTGTAAACACACACACACACACACACACACACACACACATATATGTATATATATATATATATATATACCTGGGGACACACAAATGTGTCTTTAAGGCCCCGATATACTCAAAACGAAATTCCTTATCGTTCTTCGTTTAGGGGTAAAATGAAATACGTGAGCAGCGGTATACTGTTAACGAAGATCCCGACGCTACCCACTCTGATGAAAGCAACGCTTAAATTAATAGGTAAATATGTGCTGCGTGCTTTAGTTATTTTTTATTTTTTTTGTCCGGATTTTGTTTGAAATGACGTCATATGAGTTCGTTCTTCGATTTCGCTTGAAGTATCTCGAATACTTCAAATCTCTTCAAATCAAATACTTCGAATCTCGAATAAGTTTAAAGGCGTATTTGCCTTTAAACTTCTCACCCTCTCTCTTTGTTTGAGGTAGCCTAGTGCTCTCCTACTCAACATGAAATGTTTCTCCAGCCCAATGTGACATCATCCCCAGTTATACCAGGACTGTGTAATAAAAAAATACGTTTCTGTGGCATCTTCCATTTCCTTTTAGGGGGCTCCTAAAAGTGTAAAGTTTGACTGACACTCTTCTCTGTTTGCCGTTTTTGCATCACAAATCTGGGCTGTGTTTCTCAAAAGAATCGTAAGCTAAGTTGATCGTAGAAACCATTGGTGGCAATGGTTCTACGATCTGCTTAGAGTTACAATACTTTTGGGAAACACAGCCCAGGATAGTAAGAAGAGAAGGGGGACTGTGTGCGTTCTTGTAGTTTCAAACTCTGTTGTCCTGATTTCATATTGTGTCAAGTCGCACAGAAGTTTTCACTGGAAGCTTGGTTTGGACAGGGTATGAGGTTTTGGGCTTCTATCTCAGCTTTGACTTCAGACTTTACTAACTTCTTTGTTTCTATTTCACTCTGTATTTCAGATTCACTCCGAGCTAAAACTCCAACCCACTGATCTCATTCTCTGAACATGCGCTGCTCCTTTAACACCTTCCAAAACATGTAATGATTTCCCCTAATGTTCTCCAGAACACCACACCATCCCCCAATCGCTCTTCATCCCCAACTTCCACCAAAACAATCCACCCGTTCCTCCTATTTTCATTGCCTCATTCTCATGTTATTGGACTCAGAACCTTGTTTTTGTAATAGAATCATCCTCACAAACATTCGCTGCGATCTCGGGCCTCACAAGACATGTGACCGCGCTTGGCTGTGGTCGGCTGCAATAGATGCATCATGTTTTCACAGCGTGAGACAAACAGCTGGGAAAGATCAGTGCGATTTGGCCAAACATGCTGCTGCCTAGTACAGCCCAGCAGAGTGAGCTCTGTGGTCGTGAACGACTGACATATATAGTATTGATCATTTTTAATCGCTTAAATAGAGCCACTTGCCCTTTCAGATTCAGTTTTCATTGTCATTTGCAACCAAATTGCAAAGAATTATTACACTGGATTAAGTCCAATGTAATATTAGATTATATATTAAGTACAGATGAGACAGGAAAGCATTGAGCAGAGAGGGAGAGACGGGAATGACGAAGGGAATCGAACTCGAGTGGCGCAGTTGTGCACACTGCCCTTGAGGCTATCAGTGCCAGTAAAGTTTGAACATACTTTGAAATAATTTAGGAACGTTTTTCGATTATTTTTGTGTGTTTCAGAATAAGTTTTACGATGAATGTATTTCTTATTTGTTACCAAGTCATTACTGAAATTGTAGAAATGTGACAATAGCAGCCATCATCTATAGTAGGCTACAGAGTAACGACTCCATGCTCAGAGGAATATCAAAGGTTTCCATTCACACCATGTTTTTGCAGGGGTTGAGTATTGTAACCAATCATAGAGATGTCTGTTGAGCTCATGAACGCAAAGGCTAATCAGATGTGTTTAAGTTTGTCAGAACCAGCTCAAATCATCTCAAAACAAACTTTTCGTTCAGAGATCACTGAGATCTGCATGCTCGTGTAAACATGATGTAAATAAGAGATTCAGTGTAGTCAGCTTATTTGTTTTGCTTCCTGAAGTGATAATCATAAGGTGCATTCTCTTTGACCGTAATTGGACTCCGAAGTGAATTTAACAGGGTATTTCGCTAGATTACAGAGTATTTTTTTCAGATTACTTTTTTTCAAGGAACTATTAAAGTAACATATTTTTAATTTGCAAGAAAATATCTGAGTTACTTTTTCAAATAAGTAACGCCAGTTCCCTTGTTTTCCATGTATTGACTGACAGCTCTCCTGTCCTCATGTTGAGAGAAATCAGGAGTAAGTGCAGAGGGGTTGTTTGCGCTGTGTGAACATGATCTCACTGTAGTTCTAGACTAAATGTCAACATGCGTTTACTCATCTCACTGCACAAAAACAGATTTGGTATTCTTCAAAATAAATAAAAACAGTGAAATGCAAACTCAGAATATGATGCAAACCTGCAGTAATTAAACTTGTTAAAAAACACAAATATCCTTTATGTATTTAATTCACATTTTATTAACCAGTGTCTTTGCTGTTCACACTTAATGATCCAACTCAAACATACTAATAAGCAAAAATTACTTTAGATTAGGGCTGTCAACGTTAACGCGTTAACGCATGCAATTAATTTTACAATCCTTAACGCGTTAAAATTATTTAACGCAGTTAACGCAAAATTACTGTTGCTTCTCTGCTTGCGATTAGATAATTTTAAGCCGCTAAACTCCGGCAAAGTTTTCAGTCCAATGATCCAGTAAGTGAATGCATTCAAACAATCGGTCCAAAACAGCGCTAATATAAAGGAAACCAGGCTGATTACATCAGAGATTGCAGAGAGAACAGAGACTCGCGTTGCGTTTTCAGTGAATTATTCATTCCAGCGTGTTTGGCTTTAAAACACGAGCTCTGTCATATTCTGTGATTGTCTCTGAAGAACGCGAACCCTCACACGTCACACACTTGTGTGAAGCACAGACTGAACGGATTGTCAACACATCCCACCGCTGTATGGCCAGATGAGACGCAAACTACGCTTTCTCGACTGGATAACCAGTCTCGCTAGTAAAGTTTTGATGGATGAAGACTGCAATCAAGGTAAAGACGACTGCGGTGGCCTATAGGAGTCATGCAGTACAGTAAGCATGCGTGAGTCCGTTATAATAATGCGTGTATGAGCTCTTGACGCACTGATCACACATTGTATTTATGCGCAGGCACAGACATTTACGTACATTCACGTTGTTTCCACACACATTCACGAATGTTTTGATTTGTCATGTGTACTTTGATCCGTGTACTGTAGTAGATATATGCAGCCAGCAGGCGGTTGATTTAGGGATTTTTTGGCATGTGGTCCTGTTCAGTATCGCAACTTGGCTTCTCTAAAATGTAAAAAAGCTCTTTGCTGTTGCACTGTGCACATACTATAAAATTCTGATTTTTTTTTTTTTTCATATGTGCTTATATGGGCTCCTTATATCATTTGGTTCTTTGGTGTCCTTTTGGAGTTTCTAAGTGTTCTTTTTTGGAAAGACATCTACATTTATCCTGAGAAAAGCTTGCAGAAAATACAGATTTTTGAGAATCACCCTTCAATCTTTTGGTTTACTTTGCTGTATATAGCAAATGATGACAAAATAAACATTTGAAACAAGATAAATGGTCTATGCTTAATTTCATGAAGTGTGCGAGTAATCGCGATTAATCACAGAAAAAGGGTGTGATTAATCTGATCAAAAAAATTTGATCTATTGACAGCCCTACTTTAGATAAACATAACATTTGTGTTTGTAATACAGAACTGGTAGTTGTGACTTTTAAGTTCATAGTGCATTCTACTGCACATCAGAACTTTGAGGACGATTTGGTTCCCCATGACCCATTTATAGTTTTAAAAGATTATTATTTATTCACCCTTATGTTGTTCCAAACCTGTATAATTTTCTTTATTCCACTGATTACAAAAGAATAAATTGTGAAGAATTGTACTGACCAGTAAACACATGACTCTTTGCTTCATCTGCAGGTGTGAAAGGAGAAAGAGGACAGAAAGGAGAGAAAGGAGAGCGTGGAGACAAAGGAGGGAAAACAGGTGAAGATTTTATTCATGCAGAAAATAAACATGAATGAACATGCAGATAGCTCTCTTTTAATATTATAAATCGCTACATTGTAACATTGCATTTATATGTTTTTACTACATATGGTGCCTAGTGTGAGTATTTTGTTAATAGATGTTAATGTCATGCAATTTCAATGATTATATTCCTTGAGACTCATTTATTTTTGTGAAGAATTTTGTTAAAAAAAAAGTAATAATGACCATTTTCACCCTGTCTCCAGCCCTCTAACTGAAACTTTTTGTTCTGGGACCGCTTGCCTTCTTGATTACACCTGTAAAATAGTTTTAAACTTTCCAGCTGGCAACAATGAAATTGTCCCTAAAACATATTAGGCATAATTTGGGTCCGCATTAAAACGGTTCAGCCATTAACACACCTCATGTCATCAGAATTTTGTTCATCTGCAAAACACAAAATTAAGATATTTTTAATGAAACCTGAGAGATTTCTGTCACTCCTTTAAAAAGTTTATTCGACCAAACCTTTGATGCTTCAAAAGTTCATAATGACATAATTAAAAAATCATATGGATTAAGCAATTTAATCCAAGTTTTCTGAGGAAAGGGTTGCACGATAAATCGAAAGGAAATCGCAATCGCGATTAGACAGAAGCTGTGATTGTCATGCATATCTTTCAGTGAAGCATGGTTCTGTGATCAGCAGTAAATCTCCATCCGAAGGCCAGAGAAACTCCAGATATGCCTCGCAGAAGAAATCCAGAAAATGCCTATCGCTGCAGCTGGATAAACAGAAGATTTAACTGCTTTCATTGATTCAACTAATAAACACACGACTACGACAATATATGATTTATCTGAGTTCTTATTATTATAACTTTCATTATAATAAAGTATATCTATAATGCAATGCTAATCGACATAGCCTTTATCGCTGCTTAGAATGTTATGAAATATGTTGCGTGCCTTATTCTGTGTCAGAAGCCACATCATCTCACAGAAGGATTTACTTCAAACACTCGACTGACATTATGAAGTGTGTTTGGAGTAAAAATATGTTATTAAATGCGGTATTTTCACATGCTTTCAGATGGAGCAGCATTTACAACACAGAGCCGTAGCTCACGGAGAAGCTACGCAAACAGCTGTCATTATCTTGAACGATTTCTTCAATTTCATAATCGTACGATTATATCGTCTGCAATTTTTTTGGTGTAGCTTGTCAGTGAACTACGGCTCTGTGTAGTAAATGCTGCGCCATCTGAAAGCAGGTGATGGAGATTTACTACTGATTACAGAACCGGCTTTACTGACGAGATGTGCATGACAATCGCATTCAATTAATCGTGCAGCCCTACTTTATATGATGAACAGATTTAAGGTCTATGTTATTAGACTTAAGCCCCGTTCACACCAAGAACGATAACTATAAAGATATTAGCGTCCACACCAGCGGACGATATCGTCTGTTTATTCTGAGCGCACACTCATCTGCCGCTTTAAATTCAGGAGCTCGTTATAGCAGGATTGATTCTGATTGGCTGTCAGTGTTCGTATCGTTCATCAGCTGGAAAAAAAAATCATTCTGAAAATGATGCCAATTATATAGTTTCTCTATGCCTTTATCGTTATAGATGTGGTGTGAACTCTGCTATTCTTTAATATTGACAACGATTTTTAGAACTATATCTTTTTCGTTATCTTTATAGCTATCGTCCCTCATGTGAACGGGCCTTTAATTGAAGAGTCATTCCTATTTTACTCTACCACATAAATTGCACACACTCATACCTCAGATGTGGCACTTGAAGCCAGTGTGTGGTTTGCTAACAAGACTGCACAAATTGTCTGATTTGGTAAGCACAGAAGCGTTTTATATTGGCTCATATTGGCTGACTGTTCAGTGGCTTAGTGTAGATAGTTTTAATGCAGAAAATCTTGTCATTGCTTTGTGATTTATGACATTTAGGGGCAGCTGATGTGGTGTAAACAGACATTTAGTACTATATGCAATAGACAAAATTTAGACTGGAAAAAGAAAAAAGAAAGTTTGCTCTTTCTAGCTGTTGTAAATGTGGGGCACTTCTGCAATGTAGAATATGGTTAGAGTAAATCAGAGAGTGAAGACCAGGTTTTGTATAGCTGTGTAAGATGTTGACATTGCTTTGATTATTCGGAGCTCAGGAGTGTTTTGAGAGGAATGAGAGGAAGACACAGGTCGAGTGCTAACAACAGCATTAAATGTAGTGGGGCTAGGCTAATGATTTGAAACATTACTTATGTAAACAATGTGACATTGGGGGAGAGGGTCATGTTCCATGAAGTCATTTCATATTTGCCATGGTTCAGAGAGCATAAGCATATCCTGGGGCCTCATTTATAAAATGTGTGTACGCACAGATTTGATCTTAGAGTGTGCGTACGCTAAAATCCACGGCAATGTTCATATTTATAAAAACGTCTTTGACGTGGAAAAGTACTTACCGTCACGTCGGGGTCTGAGCAGGTGTACGCACTTCTCCTTGTGGCAAAGTCGGAGTACTGCAGCTGTTTGAACATCTAAGCTGCAATAATAATAAAAGCACCGAATTCATCATAAACAACAAAGATGCAGTGTAGTTAGATTTTTTATTAACGGGAGTTTTTGTGAGATTAAACTGACCTTTTTAGTAGCCTAATGTTGAGAGTTCTTTACTCACTTTCTGTATACATTTTTTTACATGTTGTTTTTTTATTTGTTTTATTTTACAAGAGAACTTGTGAAGTCTTGATTTACTTCTAATGCGTAAAATAGAAAAAAAATGCATAAACGCATCTCCGACTGTTTTGTCTGTGTAGCCTATAAGA